GAGCAGGTCATCTTACTGAGGAAAAGGACCCTGACTCTTTGCTCTGGGAGTGGGGCAGACAGACTTGTGAGAGGCGCCACATCCTGAATCAAGGGACCAGAGAGGGATGTGTGCTGGGGGCTACCCTAAAGAGGTACTGTATCACCAAAGGATTTCTTTTGTAACTTGCAGGTCATACACTTGGCTTTGTTTTCTCCTTCTGAGGCTTCCTTCCTTCCTAGGTCATGGTCCTAGAGAGAATTCTTAAGCTCTCCTTGATGCCAAGTGTATTAGTGGCAAGACACCCACTTGACCTCCTCCACCAAAGGTTCCATAGAACCTGCTCAGGTCTGACTATGAGTCATTTTCAAATGCAGTTGTTTTCGGCCCATAGTTGCAGTGTATCTTTGAGGTTCTTACTGCATAGTCTACCCAGGCCTGGCAAGTGGTTTCCTGTAGTTAGGATGACACAAAGACAAGGAGAAAATGCAGTTCTTTTCTCTGGCTCCTTGCTGTGAGGGAAACAGTTACATAGTGGAGATTGGGCAATTCCAGCCTTGTTTCTTCACAGAAGGAAAACGGGCACTTAACCGGGGTGGCTGCTATGCTGATTTTGTAAAGTGACTTCTTGTTATCCAACCTCTCTTTTGTCTTGTTGGTGGGACCTAGGTGTGTCTTACAACCTCCCTAAAAGGAATTTCCTGGACCTTTCACTACACAATCACATAACAAAATAATACTCAATTATGCTTGGCAGGACATAGTGGTGCACAGCTTTAACCAGCTCTTGGGGAGGCAGGGGCAGGCACATGTCTGTGAGTTCAAAGCCAGTCTGGTCTACACAGCCAGTTCCAGGACTATATGGTGAAACTTTTTCTCAAAAAATTCAAATATTCTTCTGTCAAGGATAAGGTTAAACACATGGATTATCTTCCTGTCTGTGTCCACAGTTATGCGGGCGTGCTCTGGTTACACACATATTCACTTGGGATCAGCGTGACCTAATCCGGATTGAATCCCACATTTATAGTTATTTTTTCCATGCCTATATATACACCCTTATTAACTCACTGTTTCTTTAAATAGGAACATTTAAATTTAAATCAAGTATCCAAATATTTTATGCCTTTTCCTTTGTGAACATGAAGTTAATATCACTTATAAGACTTAGAGAGTTAAAACCACACAGCACAATAGAAACATGGTATTTTTCAACCTAGAAGCGAGGCAGTAACTTGCTACAGGACCTGAGACTGTTCTCTCTTTTCCTTGTTTAGGGAGAGTAGCTAGGTGCTCAAGAGGTGATACAGATAGAGTGGAACAGAGCTGAGACCTTGTTATCCTGAAAACACCCCATGGAACACCCCACAACACTATAAAAGGAATGTGCTTTTCAGCCCCTTCTTTTGTGTTAATAATTTCCTAAGGCAGTGTGGGGGCCATCAGGATCCTCATCTCACTTCAGGGAGCCTGGTCTCCACCGGAGCTAGCCATTGAGCTTTCAGTCTCTGCTAGACTGTGGATTTCTTGATAACAGCTTATTCTTGAGGTCCTTAGCAATATACACTGTGAATGTCTGGACACAGCTGGTAATTTGTAAAGAACATTGTGGCAGGAAATGAAAGGCTTTAGGTGGAGAAGACACAGAGCTATTGTTTTTAGACTGTGAGGTATGTGGGGAGGAACGGTGGAAAGCCATGTAGTAAAAATGGAGAAAGATAAGGACAACCAAGATGAGAGGATGTAAATTTAAGGCAAACTACACCAGCTTCATGATGATGCTCAGGTGGTCTTTGTTAACAGCACAGTGAAAGGCCAACCATGTTCTAGCACTAGGCAGTACTAATATCAAATTAGACTCTACTAACTACATGTACTTGGCCAAGCCATGTTTATTCTTCGTCCTTAATTACCTTGATGTAAAGTGGTTTATAACTCTTCCACAAAGGTTCTTACATTTGTAGAATGCAGAGCAGGGCTTTGGAGAACGGAGCTGTCCTATCATGTATCTATCTGTATCAATCTGTATCTATCACTGTCTATCTATCCATCTGTTTAATATGTCCATCTGTTCTATCATTTGTATCTATCTATCTAACTATCTTCCTACTATCTGTCTATCATCTATGTATCTCTCTATATTCCTATCTATCTACCTACCTGCCTACTTACCTATAATCTATCTATCTATCTACTTATCATGTATCTTTCTATCATTCATCCATTATCTATCTGTGTTGTAATAGACGATTAATATTTACTATTGGTTTATCTTCTAGTAATGCTGCTGTTAATCCTCAGCAGCTGTATAACCAAATCACCACACAGAGACTGGGTTTTTAGTTAACCTAGAACACAATGCTGGGCAATATTTACTGTCTCCTAAACCTCCAAGCCCTCAGTTTCCTAACATTTAGATTTCCCACATTATACTTGCTTTTTGTGAAATCTTAGGTCTGGTTCATGCTCCATGTCCTCCTCCAGTTCTGCTCTCCTCGCTCTCCTCCTCTCTCTCCTCCCACTCCTTTCCTGCCTTCTGGCTCCTCCCCTTGCACAACATTGTATCTAATTGCTTTATTTTGTCCTGTTTACACAGAGTTGAGACAGAATGATTATAATGAGTATCACAATGCAATATCCGGATTGAAACCAGAGAGTTGGGGGTGGGGAAATGAGCATTTGAATTAACAAGGGTAAGGCGTATACATTTTAAAAGAACATTATACCAACATATCTGTCTATCCATTTGTTCAAACCTCTATCGTTTAACCATACATCTGTCTCGAATTAGTTTCAAAATATTTAAAATTACAATTGCTGCCTTGTTTTTGAAGCAGGTTCTCTTCCCTCAGTATGATTACTAGTACACTACATACCCTGGATATTTGTTAGTTGAAAGAGTTACAGTAATCTGTGAGGCCTACAAGAGACCAGTTCTCCCTTTCAGTTTTCCCTAAGTATGTGTTACCACCTGCCTAGATATTTGAATAAAAATTTTTGATTATTTGATTTATAGAACTCCCACTTAGGTCTAAGCATTGTGTGAGGCTGTGAGGTGGAAAAAGTAAGGAGAAGTTGGTAGGCTAGACCGATCCTGGGCTGTCAACAATTTTAGAGGACTAAGGAAGCACGAGAGAGTTTGTTCAATGTCCTAACTATCTTAAGATAGAGCTTGTACATGTGGCTTCTGGGTATATTTTGACAGTGTATGGCGAGTCACCACTTAGAGCTATTCTGCGTTGATGAAAGGCTATCGCGACGGCCCAGTGAGTCCCTGTGAACGCTGTGGTTTGGAATTATCATTCTTTGTGCACAGTTGGAAGGAATAAGGTTTGTTTTGAGTACTACTGAGATTTTCCCACTCTGGCTTACCCTCTTAGCAGATGAGGTAAACATCCAGGAGTAAGGATTTCAAAGGCACAGAAAACACGTCTCTTGGCTACGTCTTTTGAGGAGCCAACTCAGAGTTGAGCACGCTCGCTTATTTTTACAGAGTGTGGGCTGCGCTTTTATACCCATGCCTCTATATAAAGAACGCTGTAGAAACGGTGACTTTTCAGCTTCACGTGAGTCACTGGGTTCCTATTTTAGAGTGTTCATGTGTTTGTGTGTGTTAGAACAACTCTGGGCACAAAGCATGTGTATACTTATAAAACTGTGTTTAGAATGCACATCAGAAAAATTTTAAATGTAAGGAGAGTATATATGGAAAGAGGGAGAGAGAGTATGTGTGTGTGTGCATGTATGAGAGAAAGGAGAGAATGTGTGTAGTGCAGGCGTGGGGTGGTACAGCTACGTGGAGACTTCCCTCTCAGCAGCCCAGACAGTGGCATAAGACAGAGAGTTAGTGGAGATGGTTGTTTTCCTTTCAGACCAGCACACAGGTCTCTGAGGAGCCCTTGACTTTCTCCTCCTTCCGTGTCTTGTTATAAAGGGATTAGAGTCCAATTAAGCCATTTAATCTCAAGGTAGAAATTCATGTTTAAAAATGAGATTTACAGCTTCTAAAAAAAAAACAAAAAAAGACATCAGTGCAAGTTGAAGTTTGTCCTTTCAAGTTGCCACCTGCATGGTTCCAAAGAGCGTTCTCAGCTGAGCACCCAACACAGCACTCTTCTTAATTCCCTTGCCTCATCTGTCTCCTCCTTTATCTTCTGAAGTGCCCTTCAGCCTAAATAGCCACATGCTGTCAGGAATACTTCAGCTTCTGGATCGCTGCAACTCACCGTGGCTTACCACTTCTCAGCATCTTGGTGAGCAGGACTAGTAATAAAGAATAGTGCGGAGAGCCAGTGCTGACCCAGAGCCGACCATGCGCAGGCATCCTTACAGCACGTTTTTTCTACCCATTACCTCATCAGGTGCCCACTGCGACAGCATCCTGGCTGGCTCCATGGGTGTGACACTTGTGTGGTCACTGGGGGCCATCGCTTGGTTTAATGTGCTGCTGCTGCCATCTTGAAGTTCTTAAACATTTTCTGAGCAAGGGGCTTGCATTAAATAAAATTATAAAATGCAAAAAGGCAGAAATGGGGAACGAATCCGCAAATTGTATCAGCATCCTGAGAAACACCCACTAACCCACAGGTCCTGTTTCTTTTTTTTTTTTTTTTTTTTCTATGTGAAGCCCAGGTTATTGCAGAAGATGTGACCTATTATGTCAAAACCCTGTCCAGACAATGGCTGCCAATATCTCCTTAGAGGAAAGTTTTCTGGTGAACAGACAATCATGCTTACTGTGGGACAGAAAAGAGAAAGGTCTCAACCGTTAAGACCTTTGAGCAAGTTGCCCAACCCTTTGAATTCTCAGTTTCCTTACCTGTAAAGTAGGGATAACAGCCATACGCAACTTACAGGATGCTTAAGGATAAAATGAGATCACCAATATCTGATAGTCAGTACACACTCAGGTAATACTCATGCATTCTGCGTGCCCGGCAGGTAGTCAGTATCCAACATTGCTTGTGACATGGTGACGTGTTCTTACCTACGACCCTGGTGCCGGTGTATTTGCTCCCTACCTGTCCTGTAGGGCTGGCAGGGAAGTCTGCCTTGTCCCCATGCTGTGTGAACACAGAGGGACTGCTGGAGCTGATGAGCACCGGGGTGCTGGCTTCCCTCATCGGGTGACCTTCAGGAGAATGGACCACGCGGTTGAGTGTGTTCAAAGTTGTTGTGATGGATTGCCCAGACCCCTTCCTCCTGGACCCTGGGCTCTTTCGGAGGCTGGATGTGTTGGTTGCTTTGCCTCTGGATGGTGAAGACATTAGGGACAGGTTTTTGGTGCGTGATAACTGATGCCCTTTGTTCTTCTCTAGGAGGTGTCTTGCTGTGAGGTTCGGCTGCAAAGATAAGAGTATAGATGAGAGTTAGTCTCTCTGACATAGTACACTAGCTAAGTTTCATGCTCACTGGAAGCCAATGCTATCTTCTCAGAAGATGCTGGCTCAGAAGGCCATCCTTTGGTCAGTATAATAACAAGTTATATCTTTTATTTATTTGAAGTTCATACCTTGGGTAAGTGTTTGAGACAGAACAGACATACATTCAAGACCTTGACCTCATCTTTCTGTGGATCCTTTGTTTTCCTATTTCAAAAACTGCCATCTCTTCACTTTCATGTTCTTTGTCTCTAAAATCAGTTGTTCTGTTAAATTAGCTAGAAAAAAAAAAATGGGTGGAAAAGCCCTGGTGTGTAGTGTTGTTGATAAACCAGTGGCTTAGCAGCTGCGTAGCACAATTTCTGGAAAACATAACAAATGGTGCCATCGAGCCCAGTGCTATATTGCGTGGTACTGTAGCCTTCCCATCAACCTGCTCGCTTCATGAAGGGCCCCTAGGGACTTATAGCCTTTGGAATTATATAAAATTGGCTGAAAGAAAATGAGGTTTCCTATGAATCAACGCTTTCAATCTCAGGATGATTAGTTAAATTCTTATTATTATATTAGTCACCAGTTGATCTCCAGAGCCACACATCCCATTCTAATTTAGAAATTCAGCTAGAGAGGTAAAAAAGAATATTCCCATTTAAGAACTTTCAAAATGACAACGTGCAGAGGATTAAAATAGCTAAGAGAGGAAACTTTGAGAAGAGATGATTCCTGTCTAAAAAAGCTTGCCATATTGTGAAATATTCATCAAGTAGGGGGTCAGCGCTATTATGTTCACATCTGTGTGTGCATATATTGCTGTCTTGCTGTGGCGCACACACAGGTATACATGTGTGCAGAGGTCAGAGGTCAACCTCTGCTGTCATTCCCCTTGTATTTTCAAGCAGGGTCTTTCACTGTCCTGGAGCTTACCAAGTGCTTTACTGAGACACCTCCCCTGTGCACTTAAAAAAAGAAAAAGTCAATTTCAAAGATAAGAAAGCTGAGGCCTAGAAGAAGCGGCGTAAGTGATAGAACCCATTTGTAAGTTAGTAAACAAAATGACACGGGATAACGTCTTTCAGTGCAACAGGGAGAGTGGGTAAGGGAAGTGGCTACTTTAAATTGGTGATGGTGGGGGGAGGATCAAGGAAGAGCCTCCAAGAAGGAGACATTTAAGTTGAGACAAGTGGTGAGAAAGAGCTGGTTGTGTGGAAATGAGGATGTGACGGACCAGGCAGAAAGGAGAGGACAGAAGAGAGCAGGCAAAGGAGACAGGGAGTGGCTGCCACAGGGTTGGCAGGCCCCAGATTGCACAGACTCAGAAGGCTTTGACTTATTTTCAGTGTAACAGGAAGCTGCTGGCAGGGTCGGGGAAAGGGAGTGACATGATCTGATTTATGCTTTTTAAAGCTCATGTTACGGTTTGGCAGTTTCTCCTAGCTAAACACATACTTAGCATCTGATCCAGCAATCCCACTTCTGGGCAGTTACTCGAAGAAAGAAAAATGTGTGCTCAAACCACAGTTTTATTCGGGCTTGCCAACAATAGGAAACAACCTCAATGTCATTTATCACCGATAGACTGACTGATGGTTTCTGTGTGTGCGTGTGGAGGCCAGAGGTCCCCCTTGGTTGTTTTTCCTAGGAGCTGCCCATCCTTGATGTTAGGCAGGGTTTCTCACTGGCCTAGAGTTTGCCAACAAGGATGGCTAGCTGGCCACCGACCTCTAGGGATCCACATATCTCTACCTCCTCAGTGCTGGGATGACAAGTGTGTGCTATCAGAACTGGCTTTTTTTTTTTTTTTTTTTTTTAAACTTGGGTTCTGTGGTTGAACTCAGGTCCTCATGATTGCATGGTAAGACTTTATAGGCCGAATTACCTCTCCAGGCGCCAATGTCTTTTACATGATGAAAGTACTGTCTCTGGAACATCTGTGCCTTGGTACACTGTTCACTCATAAGAAGATGAGCTACAGACACATGACACACAGAGATGAGCCTCAAGTGTGCTAGGTAACATGAAGGAAGCCAAGCTCAAGAAGCTCTTTGTTCTATGGGATTCCATTTCTAGGACACTCTAGAGAAAGAAAGCCACAGGGGCAGAAGATAGATCGTTGGTTACTAGGTATTGAGTCTGGGAAGGAACTGACAAGAGGGTGTGGTGTAATGGATTTAGAGGGGTGCATGCTGAAACTTTTCTATATATTGACCATAGTGTGTTTACATAATTATTTATGGTTATCAAAACAGAGTCCTAGATATATAAAAAAGGAAAAACATATCAATCCATATGCATAAACGTCTCATTATTGATGACGTTACTCAGAAGTGATGACAAGAAAAAGGAATACCGATTAACAAGACATTGACCTTGTTCCCAACAGCCTCTAATGGTGACCTGGACTAAGGACAAGGCCTTGCAAGGCCCCGCAGCACCTGTTCCTCCATGGTTTGCACAGGATGAGGATAACGGATCTGCAGCTGTAATGATACAAGTTAATTCTTTCTTATTTGTCCTGCCTGTTCTGCCTCCAGGTTGGCACCACCGTCACCTTTTTTTTTTTTTTTTTTTTTAATCAGTAACGCCAAACAAGGGGCCTTGAGAGACTGCTTCTGCCCTGGCCTCCAGTAGTGTGATTGATAGCTCAGCTGGGGAAGGACTGATGGGTTCTTAAATTTGCAATCATTTGAAACAACATCTTTGAAGTTCATTGGGTTGGATGAAGTCCACATTACTGAGGCTGCCCTCCGGAGAAGTTCAGACAAGAACGGGCAGAAGCTCGGCTTTTGTTTCGCCACCCTTTGTACAGGTGTAGTTCAATACATCAAATGATGCATTAACAGAAAAAAAAATCCTATTTATGCACACGCACACACACAAAATCCATGGTATCCTTGTAAGAAAGCCTTTTATTTAATTGCTCTACATGGCGCTTGGCAATACAAGCTTAGAGTTCTTAGCACATGCTGTTCTTAATGAAATTACTGGAGTCAAAACTTTAAGTACTGCTTTAAAAAGCTCAATTTAGATTTGAAGTAATGTTTGAAAAGTAGGTTCCCAATTAGACAAACCACTTGATTATCTTCTTTCCCCTCCTAGCAATTAGGGGAACAAATGAAGCAATGGCTAGTTTAATGATAATTTTGAAAGCTCTTGTAATTGCTAATTTCAGAGGTAAATTGGTAGTGAGTATCCAAACGGATAATCATTAAATACAGAAGTGTTGGGGGAAAAAGTTTTTGGAAAATGGATGATAAAATTAATCTTACTCCTTCACTCCAGAGCTATGAAGAAGTATCTCAAAATAATGCCAAGTCTCTCACCTTCAGTGTGTTCATTTAGCTCCCAAATGCAGGTCCTGGGAGAGATAACATTGTCTCCTAATCATCTTTCTTGTTTCTACTTAGCAAAAGACCCCACCATTGACCTAGGCACACAAATCAGAAGGTGAAAATGCCCTAGGCCACTTTTTCTTTCCTATGTCCTCCACACTGCAATTCCCAAATTCTCCTAAGAGATAGAATTTGAATTTGTTCCAGAATTGTCAATGCATTTCCAGTCTAGCAGTCAAAGCCTCGTCATTTTCACTCATGCAGCAGCCTGCTCACCTGTCTTTCTGTGTTTTTCTCTCCTGCTTTAAATTTATTCTTTCCACTGCAGCCCTGAAACCTAAGTCTGGGCCTGGTGGCTTACATCTGCAATCAGAGCTCTTGGGAGGCTGAGGAAGGTTGAGGCTAGCCTGAGCTGTACATCTAGTTTTAGGCCAGCTTGGGATAAACAATGAGACCCTGAATGAGATCAGAATAAACAAACCAACGCCAACCAACCAGCCTACTGAAAAACAACAGTGGAACAAAACGAGCCTGATGAAGTAACTGCTTTACTAAGGACCTACTATGCTTCTATGGATCTCTGGGTCAAATCCAAATTGTATCATCCTATCTGGTCCTTTTACTCTGATGACTTGGGATGATGTGATTTGTTCAGGCCAATGGGAGGTAAGTGATTGCGGGCAGCATTACTTCAGAGGCCCTCAACCATGAATATATACAATCCACTCTCCCCTCCTGTGGACACTAGGAGGGACACATGCTCCAGATGTTTCAGCTAAAAGATGGCCCAGCCTCACTAGTGTGGGGACCCAGGTGGCTGTGAGTAGAAACAGCCAGCACCCTGTGCTGAACGTACAGAGTAGGGAAGAAACACCATATTCTTTGTTAAGCCACTGAGACTGTGCGGCTGTTTTGTCTGACAGCATCACTTAGCCTCTTCTGACTGTTCACAAAATGATTCGGAATTTACTACAATCTACTTCTTTGGTTTGGTGACTCAGCTTTGGCTCTAGTCAACTCTGGGTCCTCACAGTGCTACTTCTGTGTCGCCAACTGCTCTTCCCTCTCTTCGTACACACCTAACCTTAATTGCTTCTCAGTTGGCTCAGATGGCGTTTGCTGACCTCCCAGATGAAGTTTCGAATCACAACCTCCTAACAGATCCTTCTTCTTCACTCTTTGCATCATCCGTCATCCTTGTAATTAATTATCCGAATGCCGGACTCTCGGATCTTCGAGACTATGGACCCATATCTATCCTGTATCTTTAGAACAAACAGGTTTTCGTTTATTCATTTTAATGCTTTAAAAACTGTTCTATCGTTATTGGATCCCAAGGCCTTATACAAGCTGGGCAAACTAACTTTTTGTGGAGATCTTGTTCTGTCTTAGCTGGCCTGTAAAGTCTAGCCAACAGGTGTTCCTATCACAAGTTTAGAGTCGATAAAAATCAATCAGTGCTCACCTGGCTGCTGAAATGTTCTGGACATTTGTTTTTTTTTTTTTTTCCAGCAGAGCCTCATAAAATGAGTGAAAATCAAACAGGTAGGAAGCACAAGGCAGGTGTGCCAAAGACAAAGCATGAGGAATGGGAGTGCCCTTGAGTGAGCACACTGAAGCACAGCCGGTCTTCACCGCTTTCCCTCCACTGTTACTTGGCTGGCTGGGTGAAGGACATAGCCCCACACCTGAATGCCGGGCAATGCTTAGGATACGCCCTTCATTGCAGAACCTGCTTTGGCTTTCATGCTTGGAAGAATTGGCTCCTTCTCCCCAAGTATGCCTCAGTGCTGTTTCACCACCCTTCTGGAGGGTGGGGACATTGCCTTGTGCTTTTTTTTTTTTTTTTTTTTATAGCTCTCTGATACTCACTTTTAATACTTTTATGCATGGCAAGCACTTAGTAAATGCAGTTGAACAATGAAAACTCTTTGGAATTTGCAATGACTTGCTTCGAGCTAGGGTGAGGCTCTTGACTAGTGAGGTTAGAGACTAGAGGTTAGATAATTATACTGGAGAAATAGATAGCCTCACTTGTTTTTTTTTTTTTTTTTAAGGTTTTTGTCATTGTTGTTTTGTTTTGGAAGGCTGAGAAATTAGCTCAGGAGGCAAACTGCTTGTTGTGAGAAAATGAGAGCCTGTGTTTGGAGCCCCAGACCCTCCATAAAGTTTGGGTGTGGTAGCACGGTCCTGAAGTCCAACTGCTGGTGGTATGGGTGTGAAGACAGGCAGACCCTGCGTGCTTGCTGGCCAGTATCATTAAGACAGCAAGCTCCAGGTTCCCCAAAGGACTCTCAAAAAATAATATGGAGTGCCATAGAAGGAGATGCCTGATGGCAACCTCTGGCTCCCCACTGGAATTTTACCATCGCGAGGTCACTACTCCAAATTTGCTGGTATCTTTCGGTGTATGTCATTGCAGCCCTAACCCGCTGCTATGCACAAGCACAAGCTTATAGAGTTCCTTTCAACTTAGTGCAACTTTATTCTATTGTGGTGGAGCACGCCCACGACAGCGTTCCATTCATTTGAGTGTCTAGTCCAAGAGTATTAAGGATACTCACACTGTTACGGGCAGATCTTCAGGACCTTCTCACTTTGAGGATTTGAAAGTCTATATTCATTCAATTTGTTCTCAACAATAAATTATATATTTTCCCATAATACCAAGTTCTCCACAATATTATTCTTTACCATTTTAAATAATTATGCATATAAAAATTTCTAGAACCATATAATTAGAAGTAAGCCAGGCATGGTGGCACACACCTGTAATTGTAGCACTCAGGAGGCAGAGGCAGGTGAATCTCTGTGAATTTGAGTCTAGCCTGGTCTACACAATGAGACCCTGACCCTCCCTCACAAATTGAGTCCTTACTGTTGATTATTTAGATTATTTCCGCATTTTCACCTTTATGTACAATGGTGAACATTTTGTATAAACAACTTTACATGTTTTTAAAAATATTTCCTTATAATCAATCGTCAGATGTGGATTTGTTATCATATAATGATATATACTTTAAGTTTTTTTTAATATAGGTGAATTTGCATTTTGATGTGAGAAATTTCATTACTTTACACTCCAAGAAACAGAATGAAAAAGAATCATTTCTTCACATTCACCAGAATTGGGTGTCATCACGTAGAATGAGCTCTTTGGAAGCTCCAGTAAATTCTAAGCCTCATGTCAAATAGGAAGAGCTCTTGGGCGTCACTGGGGCATACAGACAAGCTTGATGCAGACGCAGACAGGAGACTCACATACCTCCACGAACAAGATGGGGAAGATGCCTACTCTATCTCTCAGCTTTCCTTCTGCCCAGTTCTCATCCACTCTGCTGGTCACTGTGATGATGTCATCCTGCAAGAGAAGGCCTCAGTCAGCTCTGGCCTCCACTCTGAGGTGATAAAACCTTCCATGGAGATCTGTTTGTCAAGCAGGTTATGTGGGAAATATGTCTGTCACCATTAAGGGTTGTGTTTGGGTCAGCAAGATTTTCAAGAGGAGTGGAAGTAATCTGAAGATCAATGGAACCTGTTAGAAAACCTCAGAAATGTTCAATCACCAGTAGCATCTGTGATTTTTCATTTAAATTAATCTGATGGAGGAGTCAAGAGGGAAGCCATAGGCAATGTAAGTCTAGCTTGGCAAAGGGGAATGACTCTCTTTTGCATTTTGAAGACTTTTCACAACACACTCAGTTTTAATATGTCAAAAGCAAAGCAGCTTTCACTAAAAATTTTGTAGTTACAAAAGATTGTATACAAAGTTGCAGAAACAGTTAAAATGCTGATAAGAAAAAACAAAGTGGATTCAACCCCCCCACAGTGTTGGCACAACAGCTGCGAACAGCGTGGTTGACAGTTTTTTTCTAGATGTCTTTATAGTAAGCTAAAAGATATATGTGCATAAATATTGATTTAAATTATTTTTAAGACATGCATACATGCATTCAATAAAGTGCATAAATCTTGGAAATAAGCTGGAACAACCAAGGATGCCATGAGCCCCGGCCCAAATCAAAACATAAAATTTAGTGCCTCCTTTGTGCCTTTTCCCACACTCTATCATCATGATCTCTGACCTTTGATATTGTCTGCTCGGTTTTTTTTTTTCTACTTTTCTATTTCATACAAATGTCACACTTAATACCTCAATAGGAACACTTTTTGTTATCCCCGACCCCCACTGTGTGTGTGACATGTACCATGGTGTGTGTGTGGAGGGCAGAGGACAACTTGGGAGAGTTCTTCCCCTGAACCCTGTGGTTTGGGGACTGAACTCCAGTCAGCATGTTTGGCAGCAAGCGCCTTTATTTACTGAGCCATCTCCTTAGCCACAACACCGTCTTTTCTGTTTTTGAGGCAGCCTTTCTCCAGAGCCCAGTCTGCCTTCTGTAATCCACCTGTCTCATACCAAATACTAAGAGTACAGATACGCGCCACCACATTTGCCAGGGAGAAGCTCTTTGGTTGAATTTGGACATGCTGAGTTTAGGACTATCCTAGATTTTTCTAACGTAGCTTCAGCATTCCGCAGTGAGAGAATGGACAAAATTTTCTGATCTGGTATCTTTGTCACACTTTCCCACTGATGTGTCTTCCATCAGACTCCCAGTTCAATGGAAGGAGAGACATCGAGTCATCGAGTTGTTTCCTGGGTGGGACGGGGTGGAGTAATGACTCTATTAAGAGCACTCATTCTTGCAGAGGACCCAGGTTCAGTCCCTAGCACCCACACAGTGGCTCACAACCATTTGTAACTCAAGCACCCTCTTCTGCTTTCCGCAGGTACCAGGTACACATGGTACATACACATGCATCTGGGCAAAACACATATACACAACAGGAAAACAGGTTAGAAATATGTTTAAATGAAATTGTCAAGTAATGGGTTTAGGGGATGAACAAGAATGTGGTCAACTGTCCCTGTCTGCAAATCCCTAGAGAGTTTGGGGAAGCAGATGCCATTTCCTGCTATGTTTTCCTCCCAAGCTCAGTGTCTAACATCTGCTCTACAGTCAAATACAAAGGGCAGTGAGATTTAGTCAAGAGGAATCTGAAGCAAAATCTCATTTCTTGTAATAGCAAAACACAAACACTTTAAGAAAGACCTTTACTGAGGAATTATAACAGTGACACCTCATGTACTCACAAGTTTACCTATGAGAGCAGCAAAGAATGAAGTGACCCCAACTTAGGCTTCTGTGAGAAGATTTGAACACCTATGGGACCACAGCTTCTGAAAATGCAGCTGAAGCCCCAGTTAAATGCTTTCTTTTGTAACTGTTGCCAGGGTCATGGTGTCTCTTCACAGCAAGAGAACACTGACTGAGATGGTGTCCATGCAGTTGAAATTAGACGCACGTATTGCTTATGTATGCGTGTGAGCATGTATATGTTTTATACATGTACATTCATGTATAAAAACGCACACTCTTAAAATCAGCAAGTGTTAAACCGGGCTTTACCGTAGTCTGCATGTAGTCTGTGACTCTTACCTTGAGGAAGGTCAAGCAGTCCTGCTTCTCACTCTTATTCTTGTCTCGAAGGTCAAAGTTGTAGAGGGCCCTGCAGAGCGGGGGTGGCTGGGGCAGTTGCTTGATGACTTCAACAGAGCTGGCTGGGAAGACCCCACTGACCCCATTGATCTCCCCCTGGTACCAGTTCTCGTCAAGCTGTCTCCGAAGGAGAATGACATCTCCTTTATTAAACTTCAGGTCACCAGGATTCTTCCCTCTGTAGTTGCACAAGGCCTTGGCTCGAGGTACCTGCAAAAGACACAGACCAGAAAATAGGAACTGAGCTCAGGGCTGGAGAGATGGAAGGTCTCCTACCAACTACTAATGATGGTTGTGTGTGGACCGTTTATCTCAGTGTAAGTAGCTGTGTTAGTGTCTTCTGTTCTGTGATGACGTACTCTGACAAAGACAATTTCAAGGAGAAAGGCTTTACTTTGGCTCACAGTTCAAGGTACCCCTCATGATGGGGAAGGCAGTGGAAGCTTGAAGCAGCTGCTCACGTCACAGCTTTGACCAAGAAACCATGACAACAGCATCCAGTGTTCTCAGCTCCCTCTCCCCATTTTGCACAGTCCAGGATATCCTTCTGCTCATAGTTGAACAGGGTACCCCTGGCATTAGTTAGAATAACTGCTCAACGCCTGCTGTCCTTCTCTTAAATGATCCTGTCAAGTTGTCAACTAACAACAAACATCATAGTAACCTTTATTTTTTTTTTTAAATTTAAGGTTATAATACAATTAAAACCTTCCTCCCTCTCTTCCTTCAAACACTCCCATGTTTCTTTCTCCACTCTCCTTCAGATTCATGGCCTCTATTTTTACCGGTTGTTACTGCCCGCATATACACACATATTTCCGAATGCAGCCTGCTCGGTCTGTATAATGTTACTTGTGTGTAAAGCAGCTGGTGTGTGCTTTCCTGGGGAGGGCCGCCTCTCCTGCTCCCAGGTTTGCTCAGCTGCCTGTAGCTCTTTGTGTAGGACGGAGGCCATGTGGCCTTTTCCCCATCTACCTTAGCACACCTTAGCAACACCTTAGTTTTATACTTTGGTTTTGATGGGGGGGGGGGGTTATGGCCATAGTTGACTGTTTCCACTTATTTATAAGATTTATGTACTTTATTAAACATATATTAAAAATTTAGTGAATATATATCTTGGAAAGAATTTTAAATCAATGTTTGTATGCATGTATCTGTTACCTCACTACGAAGGTATCTGAAAAACCAGTGGCATCATCATCCTTGTTCAGCTTGTATTGGGGTAGTATGTTGCTGAGACTTCACAGGTGTAGCTTCTGATATTACTAGGAGACACACTCTCACAGCAAACTCCCTGATTCCCTGGCTCTTACAATCTTTCTGTCACTCTTCTGAAATGTTCCCCAAACCTCAGGCGTGGGACATTGCTACTCTGTTCACAGTATCTAGGAAATGGAAACAGCATAGAAAACTTCTGACACAGAAATTCACATCTAGTTCAGTGGAAAAACCGACTGACAGTGGTTTGGTGACTTGCATAATGTGACACTGCTGGTCACCTTGGGGAATGTTAGTATAGCAAACATCAGTTCTGAACCCAAGCTGCCTGAATGGATGGCTTTTTTTTTTAATTTTTAAAAATTTATTACAATTTATTCACTTTTTATCCCAGCAGTAGCCCCCTCTCTTATCCCCTCCCAATCCCACCTTCCCTCCCTCTTTTCCTCCCATGCCCCTTCCATAGTCCACTGATAGGGGAGGTCCTCCTCCCCTTCCATCTGACCCTAGCCTATCAGGTCTCATCAGGAGTGGCTGCAATGTCCTCCTCTGTGGCCTGGTAAGGCTGCCCCCGACTCAAGGGGAGATGATCAAAGAGCCAGCCACTGAGTTCATGTCAGAGACAGCCCCTGTTCCCTTTACTAAGGAGCCCATTTGGAGACTGAGGTGCCATGGGCTACATATGTGCAGGAGTTCTAGGTTATCCCCATGAATGGTCCTTGGTTGGAGTATCAGTCTCAGAAAAGACCCCGTGCCCAGATATTTTGGTTCTGTTTCTCTTCATGTGGAGCACCTGTCCCCTCCAGGTCTTTCTATCTCTCACTTCTTTCATAGGATTCCCTGTACTCTGCCCAAAGTTTGGCTATGAGTCTCAACATCTGTTTTAATACCCTGCTGGTAGAGTCTTTCAGAAGCCCTCTGTGGTAGGCTCCTGTCTTATTCCTTGTTTTCTCCCTCTTCCAACGTCCATCTTGTTTGCCTTTCTGAATGAGGATTGAGCATCTTACCCAGGATCCTCCTTCTTGCTTAGCTTCTTTAGGGGTATAGATTTTAGTATGATTATCCTATATTTTATGTCTAATATCTGCTTATAAGTGAGTATATACCATGTGTGTCTTTCTGCTCATGGGATACTTCACTCAGGATGATCTTTGTTCATAGCAGCTTTATTCGTAATAGCCAGAATCTGGAAACAACCCAGATGTCCTTCAATTGAGGAATGGATACAGAAATTGTGGTACATTTACAAAATGGAATACTACTCAGCAATTAAAAACAAGGAAATCATGATATTTGCAGGCAAATGGTGGGAATTAGAAAAGATCATCTTGAATCTATGGCTTTTGTTCTTAATTTTGACACCTGGAGTTTGGGGTTAGGCTTGACTCACAGCTATGTGAGTTTGCGTGAGTAGTCAGGGTTATTATTGCTGTGATGAAACACCTTGATCAAATGTAACTTGAGGAGGAAAGTGGATGAACCCTTTGGCTTACACTTCCATATCACTTTTCATCATTGAAGAAGTCAAGACAGGACTTCTTCAGGGCAGGATCCTAGAGGCAGGAGGTGATGCAGAGGCTATGGAGGATGCTGCTTACTGGCTGGCTCTCCATGCTTGCTAGGCCTGCTTTCTTATAGAACCCAGGACCACCAGCCCAGGATGGCACCACCCCAATGGGCTGAGCCTTGCCCCATCAGTTACTAAGAAAATGTCCTTCAGGCTTGACTTCAACCCTGATGTTATGCAGGCATTTTCTCAATTGAGGTTCTTTCCTCTCGGATGATTTTAGCTTGTTCAAATGAACAAGAAACCAGCCAGTACAGTGAATCAGTGATTCTTCCTGGGTTCATACTGATTTTGCATTCTGTTTGTACCTCTTCCTACTTATCTGCTTAGGGTTGTTTAATATTTTTTTGAACTATGTTCAAGTATAAAACAGGGTATTAGTAGAATGTCTACCTCATTAGGGCTTTTACAAGCAACAAATAATATCCATAATGCTTTTAACATCTTGCCCGGAATATAATATGTGCTCAGTGAATGTATTCCTTTATTAGCATCATGTATAATGAGGAACTAATGACAGCAGCTCTACCTACTCCTCAGCACTGATGGGAAGAAAATGAGAGTGGGAACCACCTGCAAATAGGAAGTGGTTTGTGCGAGTGCAGCAGCATAATTTCTCTACAGCCTTCCTTAGAAACTGTAGACTTCATAAGCGCTTGGATCATTAGAAAACTCAACCGAGACAAGGAAACAATTAGTCAGGAATCAATCACAGCTTTTGAAAAAAAAAAATCAGCTTATGAATCATCATTTGTCAGATCAGTTGTCTTTCTAAATAATTAATACAGCAAAATGCTCTTTTTCCCCCTCCTAATTGAGACTGGTTTCTCCACATAGGAATTATCTCAGTATGGTTTTATTTGAGATTGGCTTGGTCCATTGAAAGTTCTAACAGCTCAGGTTTCAACAAAAGTCTTTCTCTCACCTGAGAATTTGTGTGTGCTTTTCTAAGCATTGAGATGAAAGAGTTCCCTTGCACTGGGATGTCTTGCTGTCCCTAAGGGAGTAGGAATGATTTAATTCTGGTCTTCCAGGATTTTCTGGCACTGCAAAGCTCATTTAAATATGCAATTCCAAGCAGATTGTAGAGAGGAAATCTCACATCCCTTTGGCAATGGGATAACCAGGCTGTAGCAACTGTAAGGAAAGCCTGGGGCTCAGAGAAGTACACGGACACAGCTCACCATGTTGCTGGGGTAACTGGAGGGTAAGTGAGCCAGGCATGTGAAAGTGCTTGAATAAAGTATAACCACACATTCACATGGTGAGAACTCTGTGGTCATTAAAGCTGATAATGATGACACTTTAGCATGAACCTAAAGATGCTAGTTTTGAATAATAGAAGTCAAATAGAGTCCTGTAGATTAGATTATCATCACATATTAGCTTAAGGGCCTTGAAAAATGTTAGATGTCGGAACGTCAAAGCCCTGAGACTATTTCTAAGGGGCATTGTCTCTTAATATTAAAATTTCTCCTAAATGTTTAGTTCTGGTTTTTAACTTTTATAACAAAATGATTATGTTGCTTGTTAAAATTTGATAAAACTGGGGTGGGGGAAGAGGAAAAATTGAGTAAAGCTTATAGGTGAGGGATGTTACAATGGAAGGAATTTGGGAAGGAAATTAGGGAAGGAATAACCCTTAGAGGGATAAGTAACTGTGACCCATGTTGAGATGTTGTTTGAGAAACCAGCATGCAACAGGAAGAGAGCAGAGGATCTCAGGAAACCCCAAATCTGTGCGGTATGCTGGGCTGGGGCCACCAGGAATCAATACCTGCCCTTCCAAATTTCTCCTCTCCAACTTTCCTCCATAACAGGAGCCACAGTTTTCTGGGCATATGATCATATGAGGTGCTGGCTGAGCACACTTTTCAGTCTTCCTGGCTGCTGAGTTCTGGCCCATGGAGTCAAAACAACCCTTTGGAAAGGTTCTTGCTAAAGGAGACCGTCCTGCCTTCCCTGGCTCCATCCTGCTGTGTGGGAAGCACGGAACTCTGACTGTCATCTTGAGTAGTGAGCATGAAGGCCACTTCCAAACTGGGAAAAAGAGGTCTTGCCATACTGCCCTGGACTACTTCTCTTCCAGATTTGTTTGAAGGCTACATAAACTTTTATTTTAATGCATTATTCTTTCCTTTCAGATTTATAAAAAGAAAAAAATGAAATAAGAAAAATAATCCAAGTCCTTTGCATAAGAATGGTAATATACATAATAGTTAATATTATTTTTACATATACCAGGTACCATTACTCCATAATGTATTATATTTAATTCTCACAGCAAATGTTGAAGTATATATAAATTCAAATTTCAAAACTTAGAAAGCTGGAAATCAGAAATGTTAAAAGTTTCCCAACAGATGTAGCCCATGGCAGTTTAGTGTCCAAGTAGGTTCCCTAGTAAAGGGAACAGGGGCTG